AGATCTTACTTATGAAGTCCTCAGCTTGCAAGCATTTGTGCAAATTGTCCTACAGTTAAGGCTGTTGATCCACAATGTATTTCATGCCTTTTCTGCATGAACAAGCATTGCCACAACCTGACTTTACACAGTTGCAACTGATGTTTAAAATGAGCTTTTCGAGCTGTAATGCCATAAGAGTTGTTCACTGGTACAATGCGCCCCATTATTCTTGCTTTCATCCTCATCTTATCGGATCTAGGTTATTATTTACTTAACCTGCAGCTGATGGTAAACCAAGATTAGAATGTTGTTCAGCTGTCCCAAAGTTGGCGGGAGCTGTTCCCACTTGATTCCTGCTGTTGAAGATTGCGACTTCTGGTTCAAGAACTGAAAGTCTAGCTTCATCTAGTCAATCTCGATTGTTGATGAAATCAACTGCAGCATCAAAAGTTCCCGACATGCTTTAATGGTTGCTGGTGTAGAATTTGCCGAATAAAAAAGCATCTATTTACACTTTCATCGTATAGATTCGATCGTATCTAATAGCCGATGCCTTACCAATTTCCGTGGATCCCACATAGTGGTGTCAGATTCCATGGAAAAGCGTGCACAGCAGTACGTGTTTACGTGCCTCCAAGTTAGGGAGTCTAAATCGGTAGTTCCATAAATAAACTTGTAGAGCCCATATTTGTCAAAAACTAGAGCTGAATTCTACTCAGGAATCAACAAACATTATTTAACAGTCAAAAACTCCTTACTGTGTATAATCTTTACAAACTTTCGTACTATAACTGAACTTTTAAAATAGTTGAAATATAGGGTACCCATATCTCACTACTTCGTTACTTAACAGGACTGAACAGAGGGATTACCGTCTAATACCACCGAAAGCGAAGCCATAACTTTTATTTAAAAAATCTTCTCGGCTTTGGAAACAACTCAAGGAGCTTACCATCCCAGAATAAACCTGCCTTTGTGGAAAACACACCTGTAACTCAATCCAAATCAAGGCTAAACCGATCTCTTCTATAGCCCAAAAAAAAGCAGGTTCGATAATGAGATCATAATGACAACTTTAACAGTATATTGACCATGCTATATTATGATTAAAAACGTGAATATAAGTAAACAAATTAGCTTAATTACTTTAAATATTGCGTTTCATCCGTACGGCGCTTATACGTATATATGTTTAAAAGCGCGCCGCAGCTACACCTATCTCAAACATTTGCTCGGGTTTCCTTAAGCCGCGCACGTACGTTATTCTTGGCCGTTAATCAGACCATTACCATAACGCTATAAGGATGGCAGTTGACACTAATATGCTTCAACAAATACTGACTTTAGGAGTCCCATCCATAAAGTGATTTACAAAATGACACCTATAACCTACGTGTTCGGTGTCCTAAAACGTTACTTTGGCGCTGAACTGTGGTGTCTGACGTTTGCAGCCAATCGACTCTGCCTGATAAATGTATAAGCAATTTGTATAGTGTATCATTGTTTAGTGTTTAAATACTCTGCAAACCAGTTATCACGGCTAACCACAAAAACAAAATTATTTGCCTGCTTTGGCAAAACCAAGTAAATAGACAACGCACATCCGATAAAAGCCGACAGAAAAACTCCGGCAAAATTTCATTGTAGTCAAGTCAACGGGCACAAGAAGCACTACTAGCAATTGTGTCCTTAACCTCCTACATAATTTAGAACATTTTAGTGGCAACTCATTGAACAACATCTGAATTAGATTAACAAAAGTTTAATAAACACAAAATTTAAATTATTACCAATAATTCAATCAATACCATCATAAATTCTAATAATGGAACACAATGCAAAATGGATGTTCTTAAACTATAATTTTGTTGTGACTAATAATCTATTGACTTCAAATTGAATTTAGTTAAGTAATAAACGCCCCACCAACATCATAGTTATTAGTAAAAGTTAAATTATAAATTTAAAATTTGAGAAGTAATGCCTAGGCTTAAAATGTAAATTACTAGCAAAAGATATATTATTTTTTAATAGTTGGTTACAGATGATGACAGTACAGGCATGACTATTTTTATTGTGGCTGAAAAAGGACCAGTTGCCTGTAAGGTCTTTACCGAACCCCGTGTGGGACCACAATGTGAAAATGATCAGGCCAGATGTTTCATGTATATCAATTATTTATTAGGAGCTATGATTACGTGTAAAGGCTGTTGGTCATGTTTAAAGTCAGTTTATTCCTTGTGTGGCAACTTATCCATCCATTGCATATTGATGTGGTAAAACATGCCCTTTCCACTATATATAAAAGTTTGACCATAAATTTGTTTACCACATAAACTGTGGCACTAATGTCAATTAACAATATTTACATTACATAATCTTTCAAGCGTTGTATTTTCCCCAGCACACAACACAACCCAAAAACCGTCGGCCCTACCGATGAAACACGGTCGCAGAACAAAGAGTCCCAATTGTGCTCTTGCTATTCATTGATCGTGTGTATCTACAATAATCTAGCTTAAATAAACTAAGAAAATTTAATGAATCAGTACAGACGTTTGATAAGTTCACTGAGTCAAAGTAATGTCATGGATTCATAATTTTTGAACCCCGGTGGGCAAACACTCGCCGAAAGGTCAAGGCACACCTGTCGATTTTTCACCATACGAAGTAAGAGCGATTGGAACATATAACCCGCTTACAACTCAACCCAAGGGACGATACGTCTGAGCCTCAAAAATCTTCAACAATATACAGCACATAACCTAGATATAGCAAACCTAAACACAACATACATACGATACCAAATAATGTATAATGCCATACTAATTCGAAAGAAAATTATATCGCTATCTAATTTAAAAAATTGAAGAATAAACCTGAAGAAAAGGGAAGGTATAGGGGTTAGGTAGAGCAGAGTAGGAAAACAACAGGATCCTGGCCGCAGGATTTTAAAATTAGTCGTAGTGAAGATTCGTTTTGTGTTCGTCACTTAATTCTTATATAGGACTATACCCTTGTCATGTTCTTTGCAATAGACACCGTGGATACTCATATGATTAAGTTTTAGTTATTAACCTATATCAATGATAATTCATTTGCATCAAGTTGTAACTTGCACCATAGTGTCTGTCATATAAGAATTGTAGTTCTAACAAAGCTTTCTAAGTTATTCTTGAAAATACAGATAGGAGTGGAGAAGTCAATTTTCACTCGTTACTTACGGCAGTGATTCCAAATACTGGTTGAATTGTAAGAAGAATAGTGAGGGACCGAGTGGGTGTTATATGTAGTTGTCTCGACTTGTGACCTGTTGAATAAAAGAGACATTGAACTGGTTATTGGAACTTATTAATTTTAAACATTACCATTAAACAGTGCAACTTATTAAGATTGTGGACAGTCAGGAAGTTATACTCGATACAGATTGGTTTACTGTGTTCTAGTTTCAAAGAACTCTTGCCTAACATCAGCTTGATAACTTTACCCGTCTTATCCCTAGTTATAGTCCGTACGCTGGCACATAGTTATGAACTTATTGATGACGCAACATTATTCACCAAAGAGAATTCTTAAGCTTTTCATTGTGTTTTTTTAAATTGGCTTCTAGTTTAATTATTTGATAGCACCTCCCCAAACAGATAATCCATAACATAGGTGGTGATTGCAAAAAGGTTGTGGGTACAGTGTCCTTATAGAATGTTTTAGGTACACAGCGCTGATTCCACATAGTCTACCAATCTCACATTTCAATTTACGATTTAACGCTCTCAAGTGAGCCATCCCAGTTCAGTTTTTGGGTCAATAATGACTCCAGAAACTAGTTTCCTCTCTACCTTTAATTATTATAATATTCAGAGTCAATTCTAATTCATTTAAGTGTTTGAATCTGGTTCATTTCTACCGTTCGGCTTAAAGTGGATATAACAACATTTCTTTGTGTTTGATATGCAGCAAGTTTACACTTCATAATTGATGAACAAGTTTAAGAATTTTGTAGCGGATTGTTGGCAGAAAAGTGTTTTTAACATTTATCTACAACAAATATTTTGGAGTCATCGCAAAAAGTATAAACTTACCTAGGTCTGATACTCTATGATATTGATTGATGTGAGCAAAAAGAAAAGTCAAGGTGACCATAAAACTGACCCTGAGGCACCCCAAATATACAGACAGTTTTTCGATTCTTCTCCAAGTACTGAAACATATTGGCTGCCTAATAGAGAGTTAACTGGCTAATAAATATTTGCAGTCCACGAATCCATAATTCATTCAGTTTATAAGCAGTTTATCATGACAGATTGTATCAAAAGCTTAACTTAAATCAATGAAGATGCCTAGTCCAAGATTTTTAACTCTTAGTTATATTTCAATTAATCGACAGATGTATGTTAAGTGCATGGCTTGTCGAAGATTTTTGCTGAACCATATTGTATTTTCATATAATAATCCTTCGACTTGAAGAAACCTGTAAGCCCTGGATAATTTCCTGACATTTGAAATTTCGCAGCGGACCTGTTTGTGAGTGAGGAGTTTAGGTTCAACGTAATACATTATAGGGTCAAAGTTAGGACTAGAGTTGTACACTATTGACATTGTGAGGGTAATGGTTAAGGGTATCACTAGCGACCTTTTCATCTGACCACAATATTGCAAAATGCATTTTGGTATGTCACGTGACAAATTTAGCCGAGGGACGGAAGCGGAGGTCGGAAGTCAGTGGACTCTGTTTGAGTCCTGGCGGACTCCGAGCGGAGTCCGCCGGAGCTGGCGGACTCCGGCTGGATTCAAGTCTGGCGGAGAGGGTACCGCGGAGTCCGCCAACACACGCCGGAGTCCGCATCGGACCGAGTCCGCCAAGAGGCTTACTCAGGCGGCGGACACTCTGCCGGTATCCTCCGCGGAGCCTGCTCTGGAGCCGCGGCTGACTTTAAAGTCCCGCTCGGAGTCCGCTCTGGAGTCCCCGCTCGGCTCCGCTCGAGTCCGCCCAAAATGACTCGATCCAGTTTAACTACATTTTAAGCGGGAGCACCGGCCCGGAGTCCGCACGGATTCCGCGGCTCCGCCTTGGGTGCGGACTCTACTCCGCGACGGATAGTGCCAATAAAAACGACTTCGAAGTCATAGAACAGTTCTATATTAAACTGATGGTTTCAAAACAGGAAAGAGAACAACTTTTTATCTGACAACCATTGATTAGATAATTAATTAATTATTAATCACTTGATTAAACAAATATCAAAAAATTATAAAATTATTTTCGATCAAAATATTTTAAAATTACGTAACATGAATAATATAACGAACTTTTTCACTAAATTAATCGGAAATCGAACAGTACTTTATATATGACCAAATTATATACTAGATAAGATTCCTTACTTATGAAGTCTCAGCTGGCACATTTGGTGCAATGTTCCTGACATTTTAAGTCAGGTTGATCCACAATGTATTCCGCCTTTTCTGCATGAACAAGCATACTGCCACAACCTGACTTTTAACAGTTGCAACAGGATGTTTTATAATGAGGCTTTTTCGGAGCTGTATTCATAAGAGTGGTCACTGGTAAACATGCGCCATTATCTCTCTTTCATCCTCAGCTTATGGATCAGGTGATTATTATCTTACGCTTGCGGCTGATGGGTAAACAAGATAGATGTTTTCAGCTGTCCCATATGTGGCGGGAGCTGTTCCCGACTTGATTTCTGCTGTTTGAGATTGCGAGCTTCTGATCAAGAACTGAAAGTCCTACTTCATCTATCATCTCTATTGTGATGAAATCAACTGCAGCATCAAAAGTTCTCCGACATGCATTTAGGTTGCTGTGTATAATTTGCCGGAATAAAAAGCATCTATTTACACTATCATCGATAGATGCGATCGTTCTTGAATAGCCGATCACTTACCAATTCGTGGTGATCCAACGTGGTTTTGTCTGATCCAGTGAAAGCGTGGAACACAGCAGTATCGTGTTTACGAGCCTCCAAGTTTAAGGGGGGAGTCAAATCGGTAGTTCATAATAATCTTGTATACCCAGTAGATTTGTCAAAAAACTAGAGCTGAATTCTATTCCAAGGTAATCAACCAAACCATTAATTTAACAGTCATAAACTCCTTACTGTTCATAATCATTACAAACTCGTACATAACTGAACTTTTTTAAAAATAGTGGAAATTATAGGTACCCATATCTCTCAATACTCTTTACATAACATTCTGAAAATGAGGATGACCGTCAAATACCAACCAAAGCCCAAGCCATAACTTTATTAAACAATCTTCTTGGCTTGAATCAATTCAAGACTCCAATCCACAGATAAACCTGACTTTGTGAACACATCCTGTAACTCAATCAAATCAAGGCAAAACCGATCTCTTTCTAGATGCCCAAAGCAGGTCGAAAATGAGTGCAATAATGACAACTTTAAACAGTTTTGGACCATGCTAATTATTGATAAAAACGTGGAATATACGTCAACAAATCCTTAATTACATAAATAAATGCCAGTCCGTACGGCGCTATACGAAATATATGTTAAAGCGCTCTACGCAGCTACTCCTACCTCAAACATTTTGCGCGGGTTTCGTTATGCGCGCAAACGTACGTTTATTCTTGGCCGTTAATCAGAACCCTTGAACATAACCGCTATATGTGGCAGTGACTGTAAATTTCTACAACAATTACTGAATTATCCATCCATAAAGTGATTTACAAAATTACACCTAAACCTGTGTTTTCGTGTGTTGCACTTAAACGTTACTGGCGGCTGACTGTGTGGTCTGACGTTTGCATCTAGGATCGACTCTGCATGATAATGTAGTAACAAATTTGTAAAGTGTTTATAATTGTTTTATTTTATATATACTCTGCAACCTGGTAGCACGCTAACACAAAAACAAAATGTTGGCCTGGCTTGTGCAAACCAAGATAAATAACACCGCACAACCGAAAAAAGCAGACAGGAGAAACGTCCGTGCAAAATTTCAATGTAGTCAACGGCACAAAGAACACACCTAGCACAAATGTGTCCATTACCCACCTACATAATATGAACAATTTGTGTCGGAACTCCATATAACACATCTAATAAAAAAACAAAAGAAAATAAAACAAAAGTAAACATTTGTAATTACCAAATATTCAATCAATACATAACATAAAATCTAATAAGTACACAATTCAAAATGGAGTCATAAACAATAGAATATTTGTTGTGCCTAATAATCTATTGACTTTCAAAGTTGAATTTAGTTAAGTATGAAATGCACCCATCAAAGAAAGTGTAAAATGTTTAATTTTAAATTTTAAATATTGAGTAATTGCTCAATGGCTATAAAATGTAAAAATTCTAAGCAAAAGAAATCTTATTTTAAATAGTTGGTACAGTTGTATGACAGTACATGGCATGACTAGTTTTATTGTGGGCTGGTAGAAAAAAAAAAGGACCCAGTTTCCTGTAATGCTTTACCGAACCTCCAGGGACCACAATTTGTAAATCAGTCCGAATTTTCCTATGTAGAGCAATTTATTATTTTGGAGCTATGATTACGTGGGTAAATGCTGTGTTACAGTTAAAAGGTCAGTTTTAACTGGGTGCAAATTATCCATCCAGATGCTTAGTGTCATGTGGGTAAACATGCCCTTCTACGATATATAATGTTTGACCATAAATTTGTTTTTACCACATAAACACCCTTGGTTGCAACAAATGTTCAATTAACAATATTACATTCATTGAAATTTAAAGCTTGTTTTCCCCATCACTACTACCCAACAAAAACCTGTCCGGCCCACCGAGAAACACGGACGCAGAACAAAGAGCCCAATTGTAGCTCTTCTATCTGTATTCTTGTGTATTCTACTATAAACTAGCTAAATATACTAAGAAAAATATAATGGAAACATACAGTCTTTTGATAGTTTCACGTGTCAAAGTAATGTTCAAGTGATCAAATTTTTTTGATCCCTTTGGCCAACACACGTCCGAAAGGTCAGGTCAAACCTGTCGAATGTTTCACCATCCGAATAAGGCGATTTGAACATATACTCAGCTTACAACTCACCCATTACGAGACGGTCGTGAGCCTCAAAATTCTTCAAAATAAACAGTGCACAATACCCTAGTTAGCAAACACTAAACACACATACATACGATACCAAATAATTATATGCCATAACTAATTCGAAGAAAATATATCAGCTATCTAATTTAAAAAATTGAAGAATAAACTGAAGAAATGGGAAGGAGAGGGGTTTGGGATAGGCAGAGTAGGAAAACAACAGGATCCTTTGCCACATGATTTTAAAATTTGTTTGTAATGAAATTCGTTTTGTCTCGGTCTCATAGATAAAAATATAGGTCCTGATACCTGTCATGGTTTCCTTTGCAATAACACCGTGGTTTACTCATATGAATTAAGTTTGTTAAATAACCTATTTCAATGATAATTCATTTGCATCAAGATTTAACTGCATCCAAGTTTTGTCTGTCATATTTAGATTGTAGTTTCAACAAAGCTCTCTTAAATTATTCTTGAAATATACAGATAGGAGTGGAGAAGTCTATTTCCCCGTGACTACGCAGTGATTCCAAATAACTGGTTTATTGGTAGAAGAATAGTGAGGACGGAGTGTTGGTGATGAGGATTGTCCCTCGTCTATGTGACCTTTGAATAAAGAGAAACATTGAGACTGGTGATTGAACTTATTAATTTTAAACATTTTCCCAGTAACAGTGCAACTTATGAAGATTGTGGACAGTCAGGACGTTAACTCTTGACAGTTGGATTACTGTTTCTAGTTCAAGAAATCTTTGCCTAACATCTGCTTGATAACTTACCGGTCTTATCCCTAGTGAGTAGGCTTACACTGGCACAAGTTTTTGTAACTTATTTGAAGTACGATCAGTTATACCAAAGAGAATTCTTATGCATTACCTTTTGGTTTATTAATATTGCTTCTAGTTTTATTATATGATACACCTCCCAAACAGATATTCCATAAGCATAGGTGTGATTCAAAACGGTGAGGAACAGGGCCTTATAAGTTTTTATGTACACAGCGTCTGATTTCACTATAGTCAACAAACTCACATTTCAATTACGATTTAGACGCTCTCAAGTGAGCATCCAAGTCAGTTTTCTTTGGTCAATAATGGACTCCAAGAAACTTTAGTTTTTCCTGCTACCTTTTATTATTATATAATCATGTCAGTTCTAATTCATTAGTTTTTGAATCTGTTCATTTCTACAGTTCGGCTATCAAAGTGGATATAACAACATTTCTTTGTGTTGATATGCAGCAAGTTACTCTTCATATAATTGATGAACAAGTTTAAGAATTGTTGTTAGCTTTGCAGTAAAGTGTTTTTATACATTTTATCTACACATATATGTAGGTGTCATCGGGCAAAAGTATAAACTTCCGTAGGTCTGATACTCTATATATTTCATTATGTAGAAAATGAAAAGCAAGGACCTATTACTGACCCCCTGAGGCACCACCAGTATTACAGACAGTTATTCGGATTCTTCTCCAATTACTGAAACAATTGCTGCCTATTAGGAGAGTTCAACTGGCTATTAATTTAATTTTAATCCCTCGAATGTCCATAATTCATTCAGTTTTTTTAAGCATTTATCTATGACAGATGTACAAAAGCTTTACTTTAAATCAATGAAGAGCCTAGTACACATGATTTTTATCTCTTAGTGATTTTCATTAGTCGCCAAGAAGTTAAGTGCATGGCTTGTTCCTAATTGATTTTTTCTGAAGCCATATTGATTTTCATATAAAAATCCTTGCATACTGAGAAACTGTAAAGCCTGGAGAATATCAATGACATTGATATATTCAGCTGCGGAGCGGTTTGTGAGGTTAGGGTCAACGTTTAATACATTAAAGGGTCCAAAGTTAGGAGCAGAGTTTTGTAACACATTGACATAGTTGAGGGTAAGTTAAGGTTTTTATCACTAGCGACCTTTTCATCTGACCACAATATTGCAAAATGCTATTTTTGTATGTCACGTGACAAATTATGCCTAGGGTCGGAAGTCGGAAGTACGGAATCAGTGGACTCTGTTGGAGTCCGGCGGACTCCGAGCGAGTCCGCCGAGCTGGCGACTTCCGGCGGATTCAAATCTG